GAAGAGGCCGGGGGTGGCAATGTATTACCGAACACATCGATTAGCGTTCCAACTGGAAATGGCCACTAGAACCGTTTGAGCGGCGTTTGAGGCCTGATCATCGCTTCGTTTCACCTGATTCTCATGCATGTCGCTCTTTCTGCAAAATCATTCCACTCTGGCTCAATTTCACAAAACACGCCTTTATCAAGTAGATACCTAGAACGATTAGGTAACGCAATCTAGTCGAAACAGTCCGGAGATAATGGACTATTTACTCAACTCAATCGCAGCAATTACATCAACTTTTAATGCTTTCAATTGGAACTCCCCCATCCAGACATTCGGATTTTGCTCGTACCATCATACCCTAACTGTTTCACCATATTTCATCGATTTTTTATTAGCCACTGTTCTCTCCTCTCTATTCTCATTTTACGTCAAAGTATCCACAAAACAAATTGTCCAATTTTAATGATTCAAGAGAACGTAATTGCCTTAAATTAGATGCGAACAGCCAAGCTAAACGCTCTACGGCATAGAATAGCAAACTACTTCCAGACCTCCGTTCCTTCAATAAAAGATTATATACCGGGGCGGAGTACGATAGTACACTCTATACCCTCTCATATATCTCGTTCTCGAAATTAATCGACTCGACAAATACTTCGAGCTACTGTCTAAAGGAAGCCAACTTTTGTTACCTCATCCCATCAACAAAACAGACAGCAGACATCAGAAACAGATGAGATACTTCGCTCCAGAGATCCTCAAACTGGACAAACTTAGCCCAAACGATCACTAACATCTTTGACAGCTGTGAAACAGGCTTTAAGCTTCCACTGAAATCCCTCTCCAAAAATGATGAAATTTGTTACCGCCGCCGGGGGTTGAAGGCTAAATTCCAGTATTTAACTGAATAATGAGTTTAGGTATCTGAAATTTCCTGGCTTCAGATAGAGCTGCTCTCAAAAAGCGTATTGTTTGTTCGTTTAATTGGAGATTAAAAAGTATGCTGTTTATTTAACAGTTAATATGACCTGGTCACGTTTGACATGTGTATGGACCATCAATAAATTCTACCTTCATTTTCTCTCGTTAATCAATTCCATAACAGCATGCATTCGCCTATGGGGCTACAAATGCATTTCTTTGCTTATTTAAAATCTGTTAATGGTTCGGTGCACAATTGCGGTCGCGTCATTTTACATAAATCTACTTCAATTATTTAGACTTTGTGGAAAGATATATCTAATGCTTCTTCGATCACGTCTTTCTCATAAATGTTATTGCCAACCAATTTTAGATTGTTCTATATTCATTTACAAACTGTGAAGTGTTGCCAGGCAGGGGAGTCAAAGACAAATCTTGATGAGGGTTGAATAACAAAACGTTCCTAGCTCTAGTTTACATAACAGTTACTGCAAGATTAAGAATTCACAATATTTTTGCCACCCTTCTCCCTTTTAATCAACCCTAAAAGGAATTGCAACTATAAATCAATAATCGACATAGCGGTTAAAAATAATGTTTTACTGCAGGATTATTACAAATGAGCTTATTTGTGTTTGCCAATAACAAATGTCCAATAAAACACAAATGTTTTTTAAATGTAATTAAATTTAATTAACAACCACTGATTATAAAAGTAAATAGCTGCAAATGTCAAAACTTTATTGAAGTCGCATGATTGCGTTATGTGAAATATTTCTTCCTAGAACTTTTGAGTTGTTTAGCATTTTAGCAGGGATCACTACCGTTGCAATTCTCACGGAAATATAATATGTGATTGCAAAGTTCTTGAACTCAGGTCGTTTAACCATTAGCTCGTCAACAGATCGAAAAAGTGTCTTCCGAAGTTTGCAACATTGTAGAACTAGCTAACTGTTCATTTCTCAGAGATAATTTGTAGAGTGTTAAAATAGAAGCAATTAACCGCACCTCTAACTAACTTTACAGCAAAAAGATCCATGCATTTGAGCGCAGTAAATCAGCTAGCTCGTAAACTTTCATATATGCTAATAGTTTCAAGAAAGAACAGATCTGGGGTCGATGCTGAAACTCAAGTGTGAACAAATTAACTAAGGTATAAAACGTAACACAATGACTTCTCCAAATAAGTCCTGAATTTAATTAAATGGAACGAAGATCCGAAGACGGCGCGTCGCTGAGTTTGAAGAGACTTCTTTTCCTTTTTATTTAACGGTTTTAAGACTTATAATTTAATCAATCACATTAAAAGTTCTGTTCTGCCTTTATACCGTGTAAGTGATTTTAAATCGCATTTAATCTGAGACTTTAAACGTCTTCCACGTGTCGTGTCGATTATCTAATAAATTAAAGGAGTTATCGTGAGCTTCGGTGAGCTTTTCGCCAACAATTTCATCTAATATTGCGTAAATACATAAATTTATATGAATTTAATGGCCGTGCTAGTTTCTCATGTATAAATAAAACCGCCATGATGGAGCACGTCCCGCTATTATGTTACAATAATTTACGACATTATTTTAGGAGATTTGTTTTGGCAAACGAACTAAGTGTCATTAACATTGTTTAAAAGTAAGCGTTCGCTTTTAAATCATATCGTTTGTCAGTGGGCTAATAAGCCAAAGCCGGGTTCAGACTGCGCGATAATTAAAAGTGATAATGTCTGTACCGCGTACATAAGATCCGAAGAAACTTAGCATAAGTGGCATGGCTGGCTGTTATTAGATGTAAATGACGGTCATTAGAGTACGCGCTGAGCAATGAACTGTGGAGGGGCGAGGGGTGGGGGAAGCAGCTCGATAAACACGCTCGTAATTGAGTGATATATCCGCTCAGGGATTGGGGTGCTAAAGCCCAGTGGCGCTCTGCCATCATGCAGGACGCACTGACAAATGCGAACTATTAAATTATTTCGTTGCCTTTGTGCTCCAATTAATAACATGCATGGTTTGCTGCCGAAAACCACAAATTACCCGAACTGTATTTTTAGATACACACACATTGAGACACACATCGACACTTCATTTTCTGAACCAAAATACATACATCACAATTGTTCGAATTTTGACGCCACCAATCGGCTATTAGCTACGGAAGCTTTGCCGCCAGATCAATATTGTCATTGTCTTCCTTCATTCATTCTATTCCAAGTCGTTTTAATTAAATAGGTGAAATGAACCAAAAGCTCATTACCGCACTCTGATTTTTAAATAGATCTCTAGGAACTGGTATAACCGATTATAACGATTGATCGATTACAGAAGCTTGATATTGTTGCAAGCAGTTCAATTATTGCATTAGGGCATTTTCCTTTTAAACTGTGTGCCTTTATGAGGCATTTAGTTCGTATTTCCATTGAAAATGACCGACGAACTCATAACATACAAAAAGCTCGTATATCGAGGGTGGATTTCCCGTATAAATGTGAAGAGGTCATTTTTGATTATTAATTGGTAGTGACAGCAAATCCATTGCTTAATTTTACGGCGAGCTGGGGAATAAAATTCAGTTTAAACATTGATCCAGTCAATTAGTTTTTTGATGAAACTTTTAAATAAACAAGTGATGGGACGGAAATAAGGTTATAAAATTATCTATTTTGTGGCACAGGTTTGTTTTCGTGATGATAAATTGACCGCTTGTTCCGCTTTTGTCTTACTATCTCTAGGATTTCAGTCGAGGGGAGACACTAATTTACACTATTTACATGACTATTTCAATTTTCACGCTTAATTATGGCGTTAATTATGCAGGTATGTACTTCAAAACCGAGCACAAAAATAGAAACAACTCGCATTTGATGCTAGTTAAGTTAATCCTTCCATTGCAACATAAATTATGTGTTTATGATGTCGATGTGTGGTGGTATTTTTTGCGTCGGAAGGGTTGGGATTGTTTTTTGTTGGCGATGATCTTTCTAAAGCCGACTTGGTCTTTAATTAGTTGAAAGTAATTGTTACTTTTGAATAGATTTGTTCCTAGAGACGGTTCTTATAATAAGAAGCGGTAAGTCGTGTCCATGGCAACGCTAAGCCGAAGCTTCTACTTGGCTGTGCTATTCTGCACCCCATTTATGTCAAAATTATATCCCAGCAACGACTTGCTAGTATCGCGGATATTGTCAGTACGAGAGAATATAAAAGCTCTAATTAATGTTCAGTGGAACAGTTGCGAATTATTTATTCTCTCTTGAAATCGTTTCGAGCGCAGATTAACAACAATTATGATGTGATAACGTTTGCTTTTTTCTGCATTGTTTTATCAAGAGTATTTATCGTCGTGCTTGACAGATGATATTCCAGCGAGTCCCGTCTGGATGTTTTAAACCCTCAACGCTCGACGGCTTAATTTAATAGAGGCAACTAATTCATTATTAAATACCAGTTTAAATTTTTATATCGTTCATGGAAATAATCGCCGACAAGAAATTTTAACGCCCAACTTCTTTAATTAATAATTTAATTCATTAAACTTCCTTTCTGCATACTTTCCATATCAATTAACTGGCACAACATAATCAGGCTATTAACTTGTTTGGATAAGAACTAGTCATCGTGGAAGGGTAAGTTCCATTTAATTTACTAATTGCTTTCCATTAAACATTAAACGGTAATTAGCACAGCTGCATACCTCCAGTGGTGAGCCAAATTAATTCGCACAAATGCAGCACCAACCCGCAAATAGTAAAACAGAAACGATTTCAATAAAATAACAATGAGACAATTAGCTTGATGAATCGTCCGATTAACCGGTTACCCGAACACTCGCTCAGGGAAAAAGTGCGTCCGAGTCGTGCAAATTGCGCATAAAAATGAATGATTTGTGTGGAGCAATTATGGAGCTGGCACGAAGTGTATATAATGAGTTTGGATAATAATTAGCGCGATGAGGGTATTAAAGCGGTGGGGTTGTAATTGATCAATAGCGCATCATCGCAACCCCTTGCACTGTAGCCCGTTTATGCATTACATGTATTACCGGCGGCGTTTACCTATTGATTTCAATATTCATGCGCATCTGTTTTGTTGCAGGTGAAGATCTGGTTCCAAAATCGGCGGACCAAGTGGAAGAAGATAGACAACATTTCGAATGCGGAGGCGGCAGAGCATAAGAATCACACGATCCCGAAGGACGGATCCAAGTCGTCCGACGACGTCAAGTTGAGGACGTACTCGAAGCACGTCAGTCAAAGCTCCAACTCGAGCATCGAAAGCGACTCGAAGAGTTCGGTGGCGTCGGCGGAGCCGCCGCTCCAAGCGAAATCTTTCAAAGATATTTTGCAAAATACGCGCACAAACCCGTTGTCTCCCGACCCCCACTTCCAGTCCCAGATGGACTCTACCAAAGATGTTCTTTTGAACTTATCCTTTAATATTAAAGACAAATCCTAAAGACGGGATGTCTTTTAGTGACAAATTTGTAACACGAAGAGTACAATTCCGTTAGTTGCACATACATATATTAGAAGAATATTTTTCATAACTGATTTAGATGTATTGGTAAACTTCATATTTTGTATGTAAATACCACTATGTTTGTAATGATCCATTTCATGTAATATCATCATTGAATAAACAGATCGTTTCAATATAATTTATTGCTCACTTAAACCAACCCTCCTCTTACCACTCCACTCTATTAACTTCATTATTAATTATCCTCAAACTCCTAGCGCCATCTACACTCGCACAGCCAAACACAATAGCGAATCCAATTCAATTCATTTTTGATTTTGATCAGCGATTGATTCATACACCGAACAGATCATGAAATGCATCCGCATTTATACGGCGGCCGGAAATTAATAAAGTCGAGCTTAGAATATCAGTAGGGAGATTATTTCCAACGAACAATATTTTAGATGGACAGGCCCTACTTCTTCCGCTTCAAAGATTATCAGGCTGGGTACCCCTATTCACATTTATGCTAAATCCATCTAAATAATTACACTTTCATAAAAATCTATTCCAATTTTAAAAACTAACAAGCCAAACCACCAAATTAAATTTTGTCATAACTTCAGAAGATACACAAATTTTTACTTTTTTTATTTTATAAATTTCGGCGTGTTACATATGTAAAATATTCTGAGAAATCGATTACTAAACTGCAAAATTCTTTATCATTTAGAAGTTATAGTTAAATTTGACTTTATCGGCAATTTTCTCGATAACTCTCTAACGTAAAACAATTATCTTCTTTATATATGTATATGATAAAAAATTAAATTAGCTTTCCAACGGTACCAAACAAATAGGACTAGTTTCAATAATTCCGAAGTTATTAGCAATAAACCGCCTCGACTACCGAAAATCGCCTAAAATTTCGACAAAAATCGAAAAAATTAAAAACTTCAAACTTGAACCATTTGCACTTTTGGGGGTTTAAGAGACATAGAAAAATACAAAAAAATTGGAAAAACGCAAGAAATAAATTAATTTTTTTTTGTGTAAGTCTGTATGAATATATTGAATTAAAAACATTAAGACTGTCGGGCAGCGTGGTGCTTGTAGCGCAGGTAGGTCCGGGGTTCGCACCCCGCTTAAGTCAACAATTTTTCACTAATTCAAATTCAAATTAGCAATAATATATGGCGGGCGCATAAGAGCGCGAACTTTAAAACATGTGCACATGTTCTAATAGGCATAATAAAAGAAAGAGCATAAGAGCAAATAAGAACGCAAAGCGCATAAAACTAACGTAAATAAGCACTAAAAGATGGCGGGCGTATAAGAGAGCAAACTTTAAAACAAGTATCTACAAAAGAGTAATAAGTTAAAAAAAAGTGTATAAGTAAACAAAACGTAAGGTAAAAGAAATATAAAAAAGGTAAGTTTTGTAAAAAAAATGTTTTTTATTAATTATCCGTATTTATAATTCAAATAAATGTAAAAGATAAGAGCACCAGGGCTTTAAAACATGTACATAAGTGTACTAGTAAAATAGATATATGTAAATAAAAGGTAAGTAAAATGAAATATAAAGTAAAAGTAGCATGATGAAGTGAATAATAAAAATTATAGAAATAAATAAAAACTTTTTATTATTTTGTAAATTACGGCTAAAGTGTTTTGACAATGGTTAATGTTTTAAACTATACGTATGACATGTTTTTTTCACGGTGATGAATGTGTTGTAAACGGATCACAATTATTAATACGCCCGGCGAGGTATTAAATGTCATATTAATTAATAACTTTCAATACAATGGTTTGTTCACAATAAAACTTTTAGGATAGCTTTAAAGCTTAATTAAAAAAAACACCTGTTATTAAAAAAAAAAAACAGTTTAAGTTTAATAAAGTAATGTTTGACTATTAAGTCGTTTCACTTGTTATGAAATTTTGTAGTTTGAAAAATAAACATAAAAGAAAATGTGAGAGATTAAGGTAAACCTCCCCTAAACTCTATCTCTGGCTGCGCCACTGTTTGTTTAATAGTTAAAGTTAATTTAGGTATCTCCATATTATTTGTGTTTTTTAGTATTTATTATTCGAAAAGTTTATCGTTTCTGTTTTTTCATTAACTTAATGATAATTAAAAACTCAAGTTTTAAATTAAGCAACAATTGGTTGTAACAATTTTTGTAGCTTTTAATATAGTTGGTGTCCTCTTACAGTTGCTTGTTGAATGATGTTACAGATTTCTCTTACTGAAAACAGTTTTGCCTCCGCGTGATAGATGGCAGTTTAAACTCTATGTTTAAAATTTCTGGGGTTTAATTAAATTTTACAAAGTTGGAGAATGGAAATTTAGATTTTTATATTTTCCTGATATGTCAACAATGTTTGAAATTATTAATAAAAATTGAATTTTAATCGAGATTATTGGGTCTGTGCCAGTGATCGTGTTTTATTCTTTCTCAGTTGAAAAAACTTTAAAACAATATTTGGCGACATTTTACAGTCTGCTCAATAAATTCTAAAATTGTTTTATAGATTTTGAAGGAGTCGATTGGTTATGCTGTCATAAAACCTGAATACAGATTGTGTACAATGTAAGGAAATGGTTGATATTTGATTTTATACCCTGAAGTGAAGTGACCGTTGATTTATTTAATTTTTACGCTTTTACCAAATTGAAAATCTGAGACGAGGCAGTCGATTAATTAATTTTCAATCGTGTCGCGATTTCTTGTTTAATTAAAACTTTTCAAGTTTTTACAATTCGAGCCTGAATCGTTGATAAACATGTTTGCAGGGTCTTTCTAATTAAAATAATGGAATTTTGTTTGGTATTGATTTTGAAGTGTGGATGGATTTAATTGAAGGATTGATGGGCTGCGAGACGCTTTCATTTATTTGTCAATTTCCGCAAAATAGGATAAAATAGAAGAGGGTTCTAGACGTAGGCTTGGGGTACACCCAAAACGTAATTTTTGTTCAGTCGGGTGTTGTAATTTAATTTTAATTATGCTGGAGATAGTATAAAGTTAGGTCGCGCGTTGAAACGTTTCGGAATTGAATTTGTATATAAGGGCGGAAGGGTAATATGACGGTATTAACCGGTGGTATAACGCTGTTGGAATCTTGCTCTCAGTATTAAATGCTTTTGATTCAATTTAGTCCAGATTATGTGCAACAAGGGTGGATTGGGGTAACAAAATCGACGTTTGTTACGCTTTCACCTCCGGTCGTTCGATTGTCTTATCGCTGACCGCTGTCCTTTCAACCCCATTTGTAACATTCCTCTTCGGATTTGCTAAATTATTCTTCAATTCCTGTTCCGGTCATTGATTCTCGTCGATAAATTTCGAAAAAAGCTTTTGATTTATATTTGAGAGATTCTATTTACCGAAAAAAATCTCTATTTATCGCATAATTGGATCTAAAAGCTGGGGCACTACTAAAGCGGGCAATATATCGAGAAGACCCTAAATCCCGACCATCTCCCTACCAAATGAGGTGATATTTTTTGGCATTTTCAACCATCACATCTGTTGGTAATCATCGAGATTTGCAGCGTTATTTAAATTTTTCCATTTAAACGGTTACACAGCCGGATTTCTTATATTTATTATTATGTTTACAAGAAACTCACCTATACGATAAATTAACCACCAACCCACAGATTTTGAATATTAATTCTCTTTTATTACTTTTTAAAGTGTGTCGTATACATTTTATGGAGCATTAAAAGTGATGATTGAACCTAAAGAAATTACAACCCCTTGTAATAAATTACAGAAAAATGCTTAACCGAATCAAAATTTGCACATAAACCGAATTTTGCTATTTGGCTTAAACGACGTCGTAAATTGCTCTACAGCGAATAACATTTTATACAACAAGGTGAATGAAATTATATTGGATGCTATTAATTATTTTTAATTACCTGCGTTGTGATTTATGTAATAATTCATTAATTGTGTAAATTATCCCTCTGACATTTATATACGGATGAATAAGTTTTACAGACTTGGCGCTGAAAAAATAAATAAAAACATCGTAAAACTGAGACAATAGTTAATTACAACATTCCATAAATAAAAACTTCGGCCTCCTACACGTGTTTTTTTAAGTACTGGTAAATAGCTAAGTAGCGAGGTTTAAGCTTGTCGTTTTGAATCTGAAATAATCGTATAACGAGACGACAGAGATACAAATGAGATGACTTTCAGCCAATTTACATGATAAATTGAATCGATATTTCTTTCTATAAAAATATTTATTTAAGGAAGGAAGCTTAGGGGTGTAAAACAAAACGAGGGTAGTGCACGATGTCGAAATTTCAAATCTTTTATAGTGCAAACATAAACTTGAGGTTATTAAACTCGTTAACACATTAAATTAAATCGAAATACGTTGCCTTAATGATGTGTCGGTTCTTTCTATAAACTGACCGTCTAAGAATCTTTTTTATTTGCTTTAGACATTAGGAGAAATTCGTGAATTCATGGCTATAATTACAGGGCAAAGAAGACCCAGACACAGAATTCACAGGTGCGAGAAATACAATTAACCGGATATAGTTTATAACACGAAAATACCTTCACGGGACTATTTGTCCATAAAATATGTAAATAACTGCAGAGGCAGAAAGATAGACGATATGGATCGGCTAGAGAGAGACAGGCAATAAGGATGTTGGAAATGGAGCTTCAGGTATGAAAGCTTTCTGAGGGTGGTTACGACAGACTTTGTGGCACCGTTCCATTGTCAAAAATCAGTGACGTACACACGCACACATATTGTTTCCAACGGAAGAGAGAAATAACCAGTGGCACGCCAGTGGTAAAGGTAAACGCGTTTCTCTCGATTTTCACGGACGACCATTGTTAAGTACATAATTCCATTCATAGTTTGGAAGTTAATCTTTTAAACATACAACACTGACTTCGGTTCAAAGTGGCGTTTCACGTGACCGTACATAATTATCTTTTCAAATCGGCGATTTTGCTCGAAAAGAACTCGATTTAGAAAGTGTAGCTTTTTTGCCAAAAGATACTTGAAACTGCACACTAGAATAATGACTTTTTGTGAAACCTAAACTCTGTTGTACATTAATACTGAGATTATGTAAGCTCATTTTTAGCAATACAGCTTATTAAAAATTTTATTACTGATATGTTGCTA